ACCTTCAGCATTCTCCCAGGCATTCAGCCGCAAACTTGGAAAATACCTTTGGTTTCTCCCTTTTCTGCAAGCACAGCCCAGACTCCGCAGACGTCCCCTCTATGGATCTGATCCAGCTCCTCATCATGTCTTTGCCACTGCTCACTCTAGCTGACCTCCCTGCCTCTACCGTCCTTCCTGTCTCTGCTTTGATCAGGTGCTACTCAAACACACGTGTCTCACATGTGTCTGCACTGTGACCAATAGGCTGTAAATTTGATGGGGTAGAAACCTTACATTTGATACTGCTGCGTTAAAAACACAAGCATGTAGCATTTAAGATGATGCCTAAACACAAAATAAATACCTGATAAATGGAAGTCAAAGAACACACACACCCATGATATGTCTGTCAAAAGAAATTTCCGTTCTCCCTCAACATTATGAAATAGAGATCAAAACAAAGAACAGTTACAGAGGGTGGGGCAGAAGCCCCAGGATAAAGCTCTAGCCATTCCACCCACCAGTAGTGTATTTCTGTAAAGAAATCCAGACCATCAATAAAATAGAAACAGAATTTGCCTCATAGAAAATTATACATGTAGGTAAAATTTCATAATGCATAAGTTGAAGCTTACTATCAAAAATAAGATATATGAAGATATGAAGTAGGTCTTTATGTCCTGTGTCTGGTTGTTGCTAATTACATCCTAGAACAGTGATTCACAAATCTAGTAGTTTTCCCTAAGCAGTCTGGGCTGTCTCCACATGAGGCTATCGCTAAATTCAGTGCAGACTATTTTTTAAAATAGTGCTATATAGCCGGGTGTGGTGGCACACACCTTTAATCCCAGCACTCAGGAGGCAGAGGCAGGTGGATCTCTATGAGTTCAAGGCCAGCCTGGTCCATATAGTGAGTTCCAGGCCAGCTGGGGCTACAGGGAGACCCTGTCTCAAAAAGACCAAAAAATAAATATTTAATAGGTGACTTTGCCTTGACCTGAACACTAACCTGAGAGTCCATAAAGATTTTTTTCTTTATGCACATTTGATTAATTTAACTCCCATTTTACAGACAACTTAAGACTCAAGAGACCCTAAATGACTACTAAATACTAAACTCCCAATGAAACCCAGGTGTGAATCCAAAATCTATTGTCTCCACCCTAACACACTGAAGTGTTATAAAAATATCAGACCATATATGTTGCTGACATTCTCAGACACCTGCAAATCACAACACATCATTAAAGAAAGTCATGTATGTAAAAACAGATCACAGCTAGAATCCAGACCAAAAAGAGGACTGTAAAATTTAAACAGGTCAAGGGACTTGAGCAAGCTGTTCCAGATGAGGCTCTTGCTCCTGAGGAGTTAATTTTTCCCTCTCATACAGGTTTGCTTAGGGTAATCAAAAACTGGTACTAGCAAAATATAATTCTCCTTATATGCTGGAGGATCATATATTTTTACTAACATCCCACAGAAGTGACTCTCAGGAATTATTTATAGGTGACAAAAATATCTTTCTGCATTACTACTAACTCTCAGCATCTCAGCCAAATTGTAACTTGAAAAGCTAAAACTTGCTCATCCTTTTCAATGTCAATTGAAAATGATTTTAATTTTCCTGCTGGGTCACATTTTTACCCTCATGTCTACTTCCTCCTCCTTTATTATTTAGCTCCACAGCTAGGAGACACACTAATGTGAAAGGAAACAAAAACAAAGTCATATTGTAGCACAGTGCTTTGCAGCTGTAAAACAGCTGTCACTTTCCACAACAGAGGCTGCTTCCTTTTGAGAAAGCTGAAATGATCCCTGCGTGTAGCAAGGAAATCAGTTTATGGAGCACTTTAAACAAAAAGGTGCTACAGAATCTCCGCTTTTATTGATGGGGAGCCCCAGAGGTGGAGAAGTCACTGTGTTATAGATCCCCGATCTGTGAGGAACCCTAAGGGAGCAATTTGGCAACACCAGGACGAAGAGACTCAGCTTACTGTGATTGCTTTGAGCGCCCCAATTTAATTTCAATCATCCAGTGAAGAGACAGACAGTCCTTCAGAAAACAGACTATTACAGATCTCTCTTCGGAGTATCCTGGGAAAAGTATTACTCTTTTATTTGCCCTAAAAACATTATTAAGAAACATATAAATCGGGTTTTTAGATGCATCAAGGGTGTTAAATATTGTAAGACAAAGCAATGGCAGATTGCGTGATTCTTTTTTTCAGCAAAGTGTTTTAATGAAAAACATTATTATAAACATTGCTGATCTAGGGATTCCCAAGAAATTAACAAGATAGGTTTCCTGCTGCCAAGGAAAACCATTCCCAAGACAATCTCAATGCTAAAAAGCTTCCATACAAAAGCACTTGAGAACAATTCATTTCCCCAAACGTCCAGCTTCAGCTTCCTACTGAAGTCTCTGTCCAACTGGCAGGAGAAAAAACACTATCTTGAGACCAAATGTTCTTATGAGTGCATCGACTGTAGTAGTAAACAGAATATCCTCAGCTCAACATGAATGAAGACTACACCATAGGAAAACTGAGTTATGATGTCACCTAACATTAAGTTCAGCAGTACACTGGTTTTTTTCCTCTGAATTCTTCCCAGACTTCAGTCTTCCATTCTTCAAGGTCTAGAATAAGTCTTGTCAGTTCAAATGTTCCTGTTACATTTCAATCCAAACCACTTCCTTTACTCTCTGTAACCCTCAGGCAGACATAAAAAACCTTGCCTTGTAGTGCTTATGCTGAAAAAAATTTTAGTGGAACAAAACCTCACCACCCTAAACAACTAACCTTTGCCCATCACACACTCATAGATTACATACAGTTTTGTGTTATGCTTATTAGCATCTTGATTCCATTAAACTAAAGAGCTCATGCACACTGTTGAATCCTTCTCCTCTTTGATTATTTAGAAAATTTCCCATTTTTATTTTTATTTATTTATTTTTGGTCTTTTTGAGACAGGGTCTCCCTGTAGCCCCAGCTGGCCTGGAACTCACTATGTAGACCCAGCTGGCCTCGAATTCACAGAGATCTGCCTGCCTCTGCCTCCCAAGTGCTGGGACTACCAACCATGCCCGGCAATTTCCCGTTTTTCACTTACCCCTCTGCCCAGAGTCTCATGCATGATTGTTCCCTCACCTCTTTCAAACTGTCACTTGCTTAACATTTTCTTAGTGAAGTCTTAGCACTATTCTCAAATAAATGTACTAACTGGGCCTGGTGGCAACATGCCTATATAACCCCAGCTACTCTGGAGTTTTATGCAGGAGGATTTAGGCTAGAGGCCAGCCTGGACAACATAGCAAGACCGTCATGAACTGAGGTTCCTAGAAAAACAACAAAACTAGATTAAGGTTCTCTAAGCTGACTGATTAGAACTTCTCTATTTGTGGAGAATTAGAATGTCTCAGATCTAGAACCAAATTATCTTGGGTGATCTTTACCCCCTTCAACAGCCATTTATTAGCCACCTCCTTGTGACTATCGGGTGAAACCTATGGAAATTAACTAATAAACTACTACCTTTCATAACCCAAAAGCTAAGACTGTCACTATTTGAAACTGATAGCAGAGATCTCACCACTTTACTACCTGATGCTCATACCAGCTAGATCACTCCACCAATCTTTTTAAATTTTTAAAAATTTTATGTATGCCGGGCGCGGTGGCGCACACCTTTAGTTCCAGCACTCAGGAGGCAGAGGCAGGCAGATCTCCATGAGTTCAAGGCCAGCCTGGTCTACATGGTGAGTTCCAGGACAGCTGGGGCTACAGGGAGACCCTGTCTCAAAAAGACAAAAAAAAAAAACTTTATGTGTATGAGTATTTTGCCTGTATGTATGTAAGAGCACCATGTCACGCAAAGCCTGCAGAGGCCAGAAGAGTGTATCTGATGCCCTGGAACTGGAGTTACAGACAGTTGTTACCACCATAGGGTAGCTGGGAATCAAACCCAGATCCTCTGCAAGAGGAATCAGTGCTCTTAATCACTGAGCCACCTCTCCAGCCCCTCCACAGATCTTTTTTCAGTGCATAGTAGCAGACAATATTATTTGGCCTTAAAGAAGTGTGCAGATGGGCTCGGGCTGTAACCTGCCTAACATGTATGAGGCCCCAGCACAGCAAACATAGGGAGTGGTGCACCACACCTGGAATCCCAACATGTAATGCTAGTGTTCTGGAGGTAGAGGCAGGAGTATCAAAAGTTCAAGGTCATCCTTGACCACAAGATGCCAGCCTGGGTTACATAAGACTCTGTCACAAACAAACAAGAAGTGTGCAGTTTAACTAGGAGAAACACAGTTCTCATTCCGAAGAATTAGAACCTTTTCTTTTGGCGCCTGGGAACATGGATTCAGGTTACCCAAAGAGTAGTAACTATTTGTAATAAAGTAGTTAACAGTCTCATGAAGTTTTTATAGTCACAGAACAAAAGAAAGTCATAACTCGGGGACTCTTAAAATACATTGGTGAGAACATGAGGTAGGTTTCGGATGCCGTCTGATGGCATTCTCGGTTGGTGGAAGCTAGTGGTCTGTTAATAATACATCCCAAAAGGTTTCACAAGATAGCCACATGGATGGTAGAACAGACACAGAGGTGGGAAATGAATGGCTATTAAAGGGGTAAAGATCAGAGGTAATTTGGCTCCGAACATGCAACATTCCAACTCTCCACAATACGGAAGTTGTAATGAGTCAATCAGCGCTGCAGAATCTCGCACATGGTTTGACTGTTTCTGACCACTTCAGGTCACACCACCTAGGGCGGCGCAGCCCATAAACGACAGGCGCTGGGATCAGGCCGCCCAGCCCCTCAACCTTTTTCCTCTCCGAAAACCCCAGCCACTCCCACACTCTGGGGGAGTGCGTCCGTGAGAGAGACCACGCCTCAGAAAGATGCCCCTAACTGCCACAAAACCCGGTGCCAAAAAGGCCCTCCCGGCGCGACCCTCCCGGCAGCCCGCCCGGCAGCCCGCTCGTGACTTTGGACCCGGCTTACCGCGCCCGACGCTCAGCCCGCAGCCCGCGCACACGCACCGCCACTCGGCTTGCCTCGCCGGGCCGCCCCTCGACTGGGATGCGGTCCACTAGCCCCGCGCCTCACTAACGGCAGCGTGGGAACGGCGCCGCCAGATCCGGTTCAAAATCCTGCAGCAGCCAATCACAGGGAAAATCATCCCTCTTGCCCCGCCCTACGCGAGGACGCATGCGTCAGGACTAAGGGGCGGGAGCAAAATCAGGAAGGAGCATGCGCATTGCGTGAGAGAGGCCAGGGCGGCCATTTTTATTAAGGACAACAGTTCCGTGGGTTTGGTTTTTGTTTTGAGAGGACTTTTTGTTTGTTTGTTTGTTTTATGGTGCTGACTGTAGTGGTGGGTTTTATCTTGCTTTGTTTTGTTTTGTCTTTTTGGCTCCCTTTCCTGCAGTCATTCTGATGTCATGTTGACTAAGGGCAAGGAGTGCTTCCTTTTTTGTTTTGAGACTCACTGTGTAGATTGATACTGGCCTCAAACTCAGAGATCCATCTGCCTCTGCCTCTGGACTGACTGCTGGGATTAAAGGCGTGCACCGTCACGCCTGGCACAAGTGGTGCTTCTTGAGTGCATATTATTCTTGGTGTCCTAGTTTCCCCCAGGCAGGGTAGGTAATAGGACTCTTGGAAACTATTAACTGAATAGTTCGGGGTCTCAGTGTAGAATAGAAAGAATTCCAGGAGCGAGAACAGCAGTCATTTCAATCATATTTACTGAACTCTAATTATCCCTTCATTCATTCCCACATTCATTCATTCATTCATTCCCGCTTTTATTTGACACAAAGTAAATAGCCAAATTCATAGCAAGCACTGTGCTAGGAATCAGAAAAATAAAGATCCTGTGGCCTGTGCTTTCCTGTAACTATCAATAGAGGAGATGGCTCAAGGAAACAAATATAAATATGAAATAAAAGTGTTATAATTCCATTTAATAAATGCTGTTTAAAATTTGGCATTGTGCTGGTACAGAGGCTTTGAAACTTAAAAACCTGCACTCAATGGGGCTGGAGAGATGGCTCAGCAGTTAAGAGCACTGACTACTCTTGCAGAGGACCCGGGTTTGATTCCCAGCACCCACATGGCAGCCTATGAGCCATTAACTCCAGTTCCAGGGGAATCCAAACCCCTCTTCTGACCTCCACGGTATTGCACGTCATGGATGCACTCACATATATGCAGGCAATACATTCGTACACATAAAAATAAAAATTTTTTAATCTGCACTCAATGTGAGAAATACACCTTACAACCAACTATCAGAGAACTCTGTTCGTTCTTAATCTGTAATATACTCTGAATTTTTCTATTTTTTTTTCCTTCTGTGTTGGAATCCCTACTTCCTGGAATTTACTATCCAATACAGAGTGGCCACCTACAATTTGACAAAATCCTGGCTAGCTAGAGCACACAAGGAAGCAGTGAGATTTAATAGGAAGGACACAGGTTGGGAAGAGAAGGGAGTATAAAATGCCCTAGATTTCTCTTTCTCTCTCTCCAGTTACCAAGTGTGTCTCCTAAGAGTCTCTTGAGTGTGCCCACTTCTACCTGCTGTGACCACCCTGGTCTAGTTCAGCCCTCCAACCAGCAATGAAACTGTGCCCCTCCCTGAGCTCTTTACAACTTGGGTGATCTTTGAAAAAGGCAATTCATTCTGGGCATTGTGGCATACTCCTGTCCCAGCACTTTGGAAGGCAGAGGCAGAGGGATCACTACCAGTCTCTGCTATATAGTGAGTTCAGGGCCAGCCTAAAACAAACAAAAAGGCAGGGTGTGGTGATGCACACTATTAATCCCAGCACTGAGAGATTGAGATTCTAATCCATGCCTCTTCTGTAGTTAAAACTATGAATGGCTTTACTTCAGCTTACCTCCTTCATAAAGATCCAGATCCTTAGCAGGGCTTTCCTAACCTGTGCTGTCTCAATTTCTAGCTGCCCTTCCTCAGTCCTGTTTATAGATCCTAAAGTGCACCAAGCTGCTCTTAGCGTTCAGGGCTTCACTCTTAACTGTTCCATCTGCCCCAAACACTCTTCCTGTCTCCTACTGCCTCTTCGCTTGGCTGGCAGCTTGAACTTTTGCTTTTTTTCTTCAAGGGAAGTCTGAGGCCTGCCTGCCTCCATGTCTTTACTATGAGTACTGTTCTCCCTTTTTCATATCGGTCACTTCTTTTTCTGATTCTCCTTTTTTTGAGACAGGGTCTCCTGGTAGCCACAGCAGGCCTGGAACTCACTATGTAGACCAGACTGCCCTCAATCTCATAGAGATTCACCTGCCTCTCTCTCCAAAGTGCTGAGATTAAAGGCGTGCACCACCATACTGGCTCTTGTGATTATTTTTTATGGCCTTCCCTTCTGGAGACACAGTGGTTGGAGTCCGGGGAGGTAGAGGCTGTGAAAGGACAGCCATGTGCGGATCGCGTGGTCTGGAGCGTGTGGGGCACGGGTACAGCCAGCCATGATGACAGGCTGTGCTGCCAGTCTAGACACCGCCCGGTGCTCATTCTCGAGGCCCGCCCCCTAGGCTGGCGCCTTCCAGTTCCTTCTCTCTGGTCTCTGGAGTCTCACTTCCCATTGCCACTCTAGGATTATTGGTCCCTAGTAAATCAAGACATTGTGAGCTGAGCACTGGGGTGGGGTGGTAGTGTGAAGAAAGGGCCATGGCCAGGGCGCAGACAGCGCGGGGCTGGGGACTGTGTTCTGAGCTAGGAATCCAGAGGGTCGCCTGCAAGCGAATGAGTGGGGGCTGAGCTCCGACGTATGGATAGACCCCCAACTGGAACCGGATTGGAAAGCGGAGCGTGGAGCGGTCTGTCAGGGAAGTGGGGACGCCAGGACAGTGTGACTGGAGTTAGAAGGCCTGGCTGGAAGTCTGGGAAGACCGCAGTGTGAGAGACCTAATACCAGGCCAAACCAGTTAAGTGTAACTCCTGAAGCTCTAGCAAGCGCCTCCCTTTTTTAGGAAAGCACTAAAGCATAGTTGTTAAATACATGGACTCTGGAGTCAAACGGGCCCAGGTTCGAGGTCTCCTTCCACCATGTGTAACCTGTGTGGTAGGCAATTTAAACTCTGTGCCTTTCCCTGGCTATTAAATGAGAGTGATCGTAATCACAGAAAATGGTGGGCTGGAGAGATGGCCTAGGGGTAAGAGCACTGCCTGCTCTTGCAGAGGACTTAGATTCAGTTCCCAGAACCCACATGACGACTACCAACCATCCGTAACTCCAGTTCCAGGGAATCTGACCCCTTCTTCTGGTCTCCACAGGCATTGCATGCATGTGATGCTCTTACATACATATAGGCAAAACACTCATACACATTAAAAAAAAACATCCCATACAGATTGCTCATTAGAAAAAGTAAAACTTCAATTGTGACAGTGTGTGTGTAAGCACGAGGCCAGACAAAATCCTAGCAAAGAGCTAGGAAAGTGGGTAAGAGGCCCCAGCCCTGGCTGAGGACCAATTAGCAACTCATAGCTGCTGGGAGAGGGAGAGTCAGTTTTCTTTAAGGGTGTGACACTGGATAAGTTAACCAGGCTCAAGTGGATGGACACACACTGAAGGGCATTGGGGGCACAAATTAAACTCAATAGGCCTTTAAAAAGAAATAGAGAGTGGGGCTGGAGAGATGGCTCAGTGGTTAAGAGCACTGACTGCTCTGGCAGAGGATCCGGGTTCGGTTCCCAGCACCCACATGGCGCCTACAAACCGTCCCTAACTCCAATTCCGGGGGAATCCAAAGCCCTCTTCTGACCTCTGCAGCATTGCACGACATGGGTGGACTCACATACATGTAGACAGTACACTCATACACATAAAATAAAAATAATAGATAAACTATTTTAAAAAATAGAGAGGGAGCTAAGCATAAGAATTCCTCCTCTCTACTTAAGAAAAGGGAGATATAAGGGAATGTTGGGATTAAATGAAACAATGTTACAAAACTCTTAACTCAGGGCTGGGAACAGGTTGTGTTCCAGGAATATTAATCAGCTCTTTCTTTTTCCTTTTTCGAGACAGAGTCTCATGTAGTCCAGGCTGGCCTTGAACTCAATATGCAGCCAAGGATGACCTTGAACACCCCATTTTATGCCTTGCTGAGGATGGACCGCAGGGCCTCTTGTAAAGGAAGCACTCTAACAACTGAGCAACATTCCAGCCCAGCTGTTACTGCTTTGTGTTCCTGTCTTCTTTTGTATGATCAGACCTTAGAAACATAGAAACTGAGTTTCTCAAATTTCACCTCAGCAATCCTCAGACAAGAAAGATGTAAAAGAAAAAGAGAAAAGAAAGAAAGAAAAAGAAAGACAAGACTAAGAAAGTTGCACAAGGCAGGGAAGTCTTTCTGAAGGTGGGATTGGGGAGTTGGAGTCATGCCTGGCAGGAACAGCAGTTTCAAAAAGGGAACAATTAGGAGAAAACGTTTGATAGCACTCCTGCCTGGAAATAGGAAGCAGCAGCTCTCAAATGGAAGGACGACTGGAGAGGCCAGCACATGCTTCCCCCACTCCCCATTCCCTGCTGAGGCTAGCACAGGCCTCACCTACCGCTCCACTCCCTGCTGAACCCTATAGAGCTCTGACAGCTCAGCCAGTCTAATCAAGAGTTTCTTTTAGGAGGGGCCAAAAGATCTCTGACAGAATTTGGTGTGTATATTTGTATATACATATGTGTATATAACACATACACATACATAGAGCCCAGAAGCTGAGACCTCCCACTGATAAACTGCCAGGATACAGAAAACTTTCTAGCCCAATCTAGAGGACCCGGGTTCGATTCCCGGACAGATATACCAAAAGATAGCTGGGATACTATGCTACCCTGGGAGAGACAGATGTGCAGGTGTACACACAAGCTTGGGCAATGCTTTCAGCCCCTATCCATTCCACTTCCAGCTTCTCCAGCCAGCATGGGACACAGATTTGGCCTGCCTCCCTCTGCACCCCAAGCCTATGACCACACCCCACTCATCTGCTCTTCTTGTCTCATGCATCACCACCACCCCACTTCTGCAGGCTCTGAGCTACAAATCATTTCCCACAAATGCTCTGCCTAACCCTGTGCCTCTCTTGACCCTCTCTGCCCCTTGCAAGGCTCTCAGTACTATCTCTGTCCCCC